TCTTCATTTCGAATTCATGAAAGTGGAATCTTGAATTCAAATTAACAAGATTCTGTATTTTTTTGCAATATCTCGTTAAACTGATTTTTTTCTATACACTTGCAGCATGAGTTTCTTGCCACATTCACATCCAAATATTGTACATATGTATAAAGCTTTCACCGATCGAATGCCAATTCTGGAGGATGCTTATCGTTTGTATCCAGAAGCTCTGCCTACCAATGATTTCTTTGAATTAGTCGTCGATGAACCGAAAACACTATTTATTGTAATGAAAAGGTATGTATTTTTTATACAGATGAAAAAATAATGAATATTCACTAAGATATTCAAAAAATTTCATTTTTTTCCAGCAAAAAAAAAGATTTTTTTTTCAACATCTCTCCTCAAAATGCTTGGAAGCTGCTGAAGTTTTTACCCCGCTATGCTCGACATCTCTTTGTCCGTCACGACTCCCCATATTGCAGTGAGGATCGAGTTTTACGGGAGCGGAGACAAAGGAAAAAATCCCAAAAAACTTCAAAAACTGTGTTTAAAAATGTGAAAAATTTTAATCTTTGGAAAAATCTAGGTACCGAATGACGTTACGTGAATATGTACTTACATGTAAAAGAAATTTCTGGATTGGAAGAGTGATGTTTGGGCAACTTTTGGAAGCGATAGTGTATTTACACGATCGACGAATAAGTCATCGTGATATTAAATCAGATAATATTTTACTGGATTTTGATACTGAAGGTGGGCTTTTTAAAATTTTAAGCTCAGTATTATTTCTGTCGTAAAATTTTAGAATTGCGAGAAAAACACTGCAAGTTTCTAAATTTCAGAATTTTTGTTTCATAGTGTCAACAAGAATTTTTAAATTTGATTAGGTCTGTGCATGCTCCATGGGGTCAGAAATTTCTTTTCAGCCGGATTAAGTGCAACAAGACAAAACTGAAGACAAAAAGCAAGAATTATATTTTGATGATTTGATTTAGACCAAGAAAAATACTGAAATTTTTGTAGTGATTATTTGCAACCACATCCTCGTGCTTACCTTTTTTTTTTGTCTGTGCCCTATCAGAGGTTGATGCCGTGGTTCTTAACATGAAATATGACTGTGTGAAAGAGAAATAGCTACTTTTTTATTGTTTTTTTCTTATCCGTCTCTTTGGAAGCTCATACTCTTCTTAACCTTCCTTTTTTTTACGTGATTTTATTTGTGCTTTCCCGAACCTCAAAAGATTTCAGAGGATGTTCCGCATTTAGTTTTAAGTGATTTTGGATGTGCATTAGCGACTGGAACATGGAAAGTACGTTATCACAGCGATACAGTTGATTTGGGTGGAAATTTAGCACTAAGAGCGCCTGAGGTAAATTTTCACTCTATTTTCCGACCAGTCTTGGATTTGCGTAGTTGTTGAAATAATACACTTCTTAGTTTAATTTATGATCTTTAGGTACGTTGCGCTCGACCCGATCCCAACCAGTGGGTGGATTTCCGAATGGCCGATTTATGGGCAGCGGCCACTATCGGGTATGAAATATTTACGAGGTAAGAACAGCCTAGATTGTCGAAAATTCGGTTTGTGTTCGCTCAGTTCTGAATGGTTTTGGTGTTTTTGAGCGCAGACGGCAAAAAATGAATGAGATGGCGTAGCATTTTTTCATTTTGCTCAAGCAAAGTATATCTAAAGATGGTCATTGGGAAATAACCATTGCTTATCACTCAGCACGAGTGGGAGGTGTCGTGAACGGAGCCATTTCTCAAAAATCGGTCTGACCCGGGAAGGGATCGAACTACTCCTCTTCACGTCCGGACGCAACGTATTACCACTACGCCATCGGTTACTGTTCCGCAGGTTCAGTCCGGCAGCACATCTACTGTGTATCTGCTTTTCATAGTGATATATACCTTCCTTCCCTTTTTCTTTTTGGGGTTCCCTGGTTGGATTTTGGCGGGTTTTTCGTGGCATTTCCCACCGTTTATCGTTATGTATCTTTTATATATTATTTTGGATGAAATTCCGGGAATTTGGTCTTTGATTTTTTTTTCTCATATATTTGAATTATCGTATTTGTGGGCTACTAAGGGCAATGATATCTTGATATCTTTTTTTTTTGCAGAATTAATCCGTTCTATAGTCGAATGCGAAGTGATCAGTATGCCGAATTTGAACTGCCCTCATTACCAAAGAAAGTGCATTACGCAGTCAAAGCACTCATTGCGGATATGTTACGCATTGATCCAAATCAGGCATGATTACTTTGATACTTCTAATTTCATTTGCTAGGAAAATCGTTGATCTGGTAACCTTCCTAGGAAGCAGAACAGAAGTTAGGATTGCCAACAACTTGGCCACCATTTAGTCAAAACAACCGGAAAACTACTTAGGTGTAAAGCTGAGGAAAAGGGTCATGAATTAATCTGTGTATTTTAAATAATACTTCACTCAGCTACTGTTTAGTCTCATCTCTTCGCCATCAGTGCATTCGAAGATATCTCCCTTCTCCTCATTTCTTTGCCCCTCGTAATCATGCAAATTCATACGAAGGCGTTGAAATGGATCCTTGCATCGCATTTGTAATCTTTCCTTTGGTCATGAAACAAAAAGCATGAGTACCATTCAGCAATCCAATCTATAATTTTGTCCCAAATTTATGGTTTTTTTTTTTGATTTCCAGAGGCCAAATCCACATGTTGCGGCAAATGTTCTCAGCATATCACTGTTCCGTTTTGGTGATGATTTGCGCAAGTTCTTCTACAGCTCGGGCTTCGATGAAACGCTTTTTGGCAAACCAATTATTGATTTGACTCGTGCTACAAGCAGAACCTTAAAAATGGTATTATATACCGAACTTTTTTCAGTCGGAGGCGTTCCGTAGTTTATATTTTGGAATTTCAAAGAAAATTTTTGTTCTAGCTTTTGATTTTTTTTTTCCTTTTTTTACTTTCTTCTTGAGCGATTAGATAACTTTCGTCAGCACTTGGTTAGTTCAAACAATATTTTTTTGAATTAGAGCTTCAGCAGCACAGGCGTGACTTCATCCTGAACGATTTTGGTCTAGTAACAGCCAGTGATCTCTTATTCCCTATCCGAATTTTTGCCATATTAATTCACTTTTATACGATGCGTTAGTCTGTTGGATGTTAAATTTTCATTGTATATTTTTATTATATATATAATAAAAATTAAGGAATTTCAGAAATTTTCTATCCGCTTAGATAATCTTTACAATTTTTGTCTTTTGAGGCATATGTTTTTTCTTTTCTCGCATTTTAGCTCGGGCAAAAGATGATTGCTGCTCTCAATGGTTTTACAATGTTGTTTGCAGCAGAAACCATATTGGCTCGGAATATCCATCCAAGAACGATAAGCGCTGCGGAATTACAAGTAATACCCAAAGCTTGCATTGTAGATTTGGGTATTTGTAAATTCAAAACTAGGCAGAAATAATTGGACTTTATTACTGGGCATGTAAAAGACGGGTAAGTGTATTACAAAAAATGCATCGGACACACATGTGCACACACACACGCATATACACATACATGCACACACGCACACAACTCCGTGACAATATGCGTTTTGTTTAGCTGTTGCGCAGCACAAAACCCATAAAAATCGTTGTAACTCGATCAGCAGCTCCGGGACAAAGAAACCCTCTTAACTGTGGTCAAATCAGCGGAACTCATCTGGAAGTATGCGTGCTAAATGATCACCGTAAAATTTAATATTTTCAAAAATAAGAAAAAACCTTAAAAACAATCTGTGGTGGCTTTTACGAAGTTCATTTTTATAACTTCCATTTGAAGAGACTTTCATACTTTGGAGTTTTGAGATTTTTTTTCAGATTTTTTACTAAGTCTTTTTTCTCAGATTTTTTTATCAAATTTTTTGAGATTTTTTTTTGTTAAGTCTCGCAGAGTACCATCTTATATTAATGCTGTTAAGTGTGGTTTTTTTTGGTAAGAATCAATTTTTTTATCGAAAAGTGACTTTTTAAATAAATTTTCAGTACATATTTCAAATGGCATTTGTTTTTTTACTTATTTTTTGC